TTATTCATTTCAATTTGTTTTTTTGTTTTAATATAGATAACATCATTTCAAAAATACATAAAAATATATTCCTGATTCTTAAATGTCTCAGGTCTTTTTTTATAATTTTTATTTTATTTTTACATTATTTTTATTATTTTATTTAAATTAATTTATGCAAGGTGTTTCCAAGTTTACCTTTGAATTAGGGTTTGGCATTTTGATGCTTTTGATTTGCTTTCTTGAGCCAATTTTCCTCACATTTTTGAAAACTTAATTTATGAATATTTGAATGTAGTTTTGGTGCTTTGATGATCAATTCTTAGATGTTTCTTAGTCGGTTTTGTTTGGCCCTTGATTCTTGCTCGATTAGTGGAATGTCTTGAATCTTTGGATTGATTTAATGATGCATTTTTGCACTTCTTCTTTAGATATTTCTCACACTTGTTCTTAATATATATAAAATGTGTTAGAGCCTCTCATTGATTTTATTAGGTCACTTTTCTATTTTTGGTTGATGTCTAAGTGTGACTTGTTTTTTTTAGTTGAGTATGCATGATATTTGATCTAGCTTTGAACCATTTATGTTCCCATATGTTTAAGTGAGGTTTGATATGCTTGCGTGATGTTATTTCCTACTGACTTGATTTGAATAAGAGCTTTGGACCCACACTTGTTTGGCCACCTTTCTATTTTTGGTTGAATTTCCAACTTGATGTTGTTTTGATCATGATTTTTAGATGTTCTTGACTTAGTTTCTTGAGATTGTTTCTTGGATGATCTAATTGTTGCTTGGTGACCCTTGTATGCTTTGATTAACATGTTAAATGTTCTGACCTTCATGCTTGGATGACCATTATATGATAAATTTTCCTTGCTTTCCTTACATGATCACTTGTTTCTTTTATGGATGGTTTGAGAGATGTTTATTTAGTTTCTCATTCATGACTTGAACATGATCCTTCTTGAAATTGATTGATGTCTTAAAGTTGACTTTGAATTGAGAAACTTGAGTATGCTTCTGACCTTCATGTTATGGTGTGCATTACTTGATCATTTGATCTTTGTACCTTACTTGAATACACGCTTTCCTTTGAAGATGATTAGGGTTGATGCTTACCTAGTTTTGGTGCATGCCTTTAACTTGATCCTAGATGTTCCTTCTTGATATTCATAAGTTGATGCTTGAGTTGATATTCATGTGTATTCTACTTCCTGTGTTGTTTCCATGACCTAATCTCATTGATTGAACCATTTGTGACTTGTATTTCATGAGATATTGATTTGTATGTTGTGGTTCATGTTGAATGCTCTTGTGCTTCTTCTTTCCTCCATGAAAAGAGTTGATCATGATGTGGTATAGGTTCTGACTTTACTTTATTTCCATCTTCTTTAACCCATCTTACTTTGGTTTGCTTATTGGTGCTCTTTGATTTGGTTTTAAGACTTGTGTGCTTGTGCATTTCTATGTTTGCCTTCACTTATCTTTTTGACCTTCAATGTGTGAATACTTGGATCATGGTTTGTGATGATTGAGAATGTGTATGTTGATTGTGTATTTTATCCATCTTTGATGTCTTGATTCATTTGATAAGCATACTTTGATTTTGGCATTGAGGTTTAGGACTTAGATGTTGATGCTTGATTCTTCTTACCTTATGTTGCTTTGAAACCCATATTCTCTTCATCTCCCTTCTTCCCTTTTGAATTTTGTATTCTTGTTTTTTTTCTAGATTGAGTTGTATAATGTTTACTTGTACTTGATCACATGTTCCCTTAGGGCTCCTGGTCCAACTTAATTTTTGATTAAGCTTGGAGTAGGATAGACATTAGGCTCTCAATCCTATGCATGATAACATTAGGTGTATCTCTCTCTCTCTCTCTCTCTCTCTCTCTCTCTCTCTCTCTCTCTCTCTCTCTCTCATCTTCAACTATAGGGCCATATTGTATGACAACACATCTAGGTGTGTTTTCCTTAGATTTTCTCTTTTCCCTTTTTGTCTTTCTCTTCTTTCTCAAAACAAAATCAAAACACTTAATAAAATATGATGACTATTTTGCGCCACGAGCCTTAAGTATATGAGAAATGATGAGTGGGGAGTCTCTCCTTACTTCTTCAACCTATGGTCGTATCCCACGAACTAAGAACACTCTGATTTCTCATACCAGATGAGGATTCCTAGGCAAAAGACAGCGAAGTCTTGGCGAACACAATTCCCTTTTTCACCCGCAGTCCTCCGAACTACTTTGATTCTAACTTTCCCATTGCACGGGGGAATACGTAGGTCTAGGACGGCGAAGTTCTATCGAGTCTGTTTTTGTTTTTTCCCTTTTCGCTTCATCCCATTTCCGTTAGCAAGTAGGCTTTAGATAAATACACCTTTTTATTAGAACAACAAGAGTGGATCCCATTGTGTACAATGGACGCGAGGGGATGCTAATACCTTCCTATCGCGTAATCGACTCCGGAACCCAGAATTTGGTTGCGAGACCATGTCTTCTCCCTTTTGAGGTTTCTTCAATCGTTTTCGTTTCCTCACCGGGATAAATAACGTTCGGTGGTGACTCTTCTACTTTTTCCACCGTCTATTTTTCGCAATTTCGAAAAAAAGATGCGAGAGTGTGAGAATTTTTGTATGGATTTGTAAGTGTGTGAGTGAAAGTGAGCAGGGTGTGACTTAAAAAAGTGAAATTTGTGTGATTCTTGATGAATGTAATGTATGGAATGGCAAATGGCTCATGGTGTATGTAATTTCTTATGGATGATGAGGATGTTTGAATGCGTGTGTAACTCATGCCCCTCCTTGTGACAAACAGAAGCTGTGATTCAAATTATTTCTTTTTTTTTTTTCATTTTAGTTTTATGTATGCATGAAGGATAGTAAAGGGATGCTATAAATGTAATGTGAAATTTATGTATGTTAATGAAGGGACCATGTAGTTTTCGTGTTGTTAGTTTGGTTTAATAAAAGCAGAGGTTTGTTTTATTTCCATTATCTTTCAAATTTAAATTGAATTCAAATTATTGCATTTTACTCTAGTGTTTATTTTTTCTCTGCTGTAACAATGATATGAAGGATGTTGTGGTATTATGTATTATTTCATGGCTTAATAACTGGGTGTATGTGATGGTGGTGACATGAGGGAAACATAAAGAGAACGTGGTTATGTTGATATGGAGAAATGCAATATTTAAAAAAAAAAAAAAGAGTTTAATCTTTTTTGTCTAAGTTGAACAAATAATAAGATAATGTGAACTAAAGGCTTAATTTTGAATGATGATGTGGTGTAAAGACATGAGATAAAAAGTGGAGAAATGAACCTGGTCTATATTTATCATAACCTTGTTTTTTCAAAGTATAAGGATGATAACATGATGATGATATAAGAAAAATGAAACGGGTAATAGCAAATGAATAAAACAAATGTGCCATTTTATTTATTTTTAAAACATGACCTTAGAGTTCTAAAATGCAAAATGCAATAAAAAGATGGGATGAAAGTGATTAAGTGGACTTTGTACTTAATGTGCACAAATCCTTATTATTGCCTTTTACGGTGACTCAAATGAACCATGTTTAAAATGTAATGTCTGCAATTCAAACGAATTAGCTCGAGCTGAGTGATGCATCAATTTATCTATTTGGAGATTATTCCAAAACCCCCACATAGTCCGCTCCTCCCACCATCTCTTCAGAGATCTCGATGCAATACTTGACGATTTCAAGAGTCATCTGATATTAAAAGACTATTGTCTGATACTAACTCCTGTACATTGAATTTAAGCAAACGACTACATGACATGGTTCTATAGCATGTCACCTCCTATCATGACATCAGACGTTTTTGAAAGACCACTTAAACCAACTAATTAAGATGTACTTGAGGTTAGAGATGATCACATCAAAGACGTGTCGGCAATCTGTGGACATAATGTAGAAAAACAATCTATTGTATAAATACATATCTAAACCCACCACACCCCATTTATTCACCATTAAAAAGTGAAACTCTAACAACTAGATTATTAGAAAAAAAAATTCAATCTAAAAGATCGGAGTGAATATCATCCTAAAAAAATTCAATCTAAAAGTTTGGCACAACCAAAGAACAAAACATATTAAACAACAGTATACTAATGAGTGATGAATAAGAGATATTAAGAGAGAGATATTTAAGTAATGGTCCAAAATTCAAACTCTAAAAATTAACATAACTACTAGCTTATTAACATTTGCATATGATAAAATATTGTAATTATGTAGCCTCCATACTTCTAATTAAATACATGTTTGGTGGTGTCTGACACATAAATGTATCTGACCTCCATTTATGTATATACTAAATCTAACATGCAATGACTCATAAAGTTTTGGTTAGAGAATTGGACTCATAAACCCAATTTGTTGACATGATATTGTTGATTTTTTTATTATATTCTAAATAAGAATATAAAATTAATACTCAATACTAATTACAATTGTGAAAAAAAATGTATTCACCACTAATTCTAAGATTAAGGATTGATTCTTATTTTTATTTGAATCATTTTTAAGTTATGTATTTTATAGAAATAAATGTTTTGTAGAATTTTTTATTATTATCAAGTGTTATGTTACATGGATGAATTTTATTAAATTTTATATAATGTGTTTTATTCAATTTAAGTGCCACTAACAAGAATAATTGTATTGAATTGTGTTATAATTTTTTATAACTAACAAAAACAATATCATTTTTTTTTAATTTGAAACTGAACCCGTGCATCTAATCTTTAAATGAATGAGTCATTTTGGTTCCATATCGATCGTGAAATTGCGAGTTAAACAAAGAATTCAATCCATTAAAATTTAAATGGGTTGAATAACATATTACGACAAATCAAATTCAATCAAACCCGTGTAGACCCTACCTTTTATAACATTGTTCTTTTTCTCTCTATTAAAGCACATGCTTATATCACTTGTTTCTCAGCCTCATATCTTGCACACATAACATCCAAACCGACAACATTATCAAAGATGGAGAATTTAGCAGAAAAGAAACCACATGCTGTGTTGATTCCATATCCAACTCAAGGCCATATCAATCCATTGTTGAAACTAGCAAAACTTCTTCACATTAAAGGCATTCAGATAACCTTTATCAATACTGAATACAATCACAAACGCTTGCTCAAATCAAGAGGTTCTAATGCCTTTAATGGTTTCACTGACATTACCTTTGAGACCATACCAGATGGTTTAACTCCAACGGAAGGTGATGGTGATGTTACTCAAGATATTTCTTCTCTTAATCAATCTATAAGAAAGAATTTCCTCAAACCCTTTTGTGAACTTCTTTCTAGACTTAATGAATCTGCCAATATTGGTCTTATTCCGCATGTTACTTGTTTAGTTTCTGATGTGATGATGAGTTTTACTTTACAAGCAGCTAAGGAATTTGCACTACCGAATGTTATATTTTTTCCAGCAAGTGCATGTTCTTTATTGTGTACTTTGCACTTTCGTTCCTTTGTAGAAAAAGGTCTCACACCACTCAAAGGTACTTACTAAACTTGTTATGTATATGCAAGTATATACGCACTCGTGCGTATTTATAAGGAACTTCCAACTATTAACTTTGATATTCATGATATGCAGATGAGAGTTATCTAAAAAATGGATATTTGGAAACTAAAGTAGACTGGATTCCAGGTTTAAAAAACTTTAGGTTGAAGGACATTGTCGACTTTATCAGGACAACAGATCCAAATGATAACAGGTTAGAATTCTTTATTGATATGGCGGATAGACTTCGTAGAGATTCAAGTTCAACTATCATTTTGAATACTTTCGATGAACTTGAGAGTGATGTAATCAATGCTCTCTTCTCTGTGTTTCCTTCTCTTTACGCTATTGGCCCTTTACCTTTACTGCTAAACCAAACTCCACATCATCATCAATTAGCATCTCTAGATTTTAATCTTTGGAAAGAAGATACCAAGTGCCTTGAATGGCTTGAATCCAAGGAACCTAGATCGGTTGTTTATGTGAATTTCGGCAGCATCACAGTTATGACTCCAGAGCAACTGTTGGAGTTTGCTTGGGGTTTGGCCAATAGTAAGAAATCGTTTTTGTGGATCGTTAGGCCGGATCTTGTCATTGGAGGCTCAGTGGTTTTGTCACCTGAGTTTGTGAATGAAACTTCAGATAGAGGCCTAATAGCAAGTTGGTGTCCACAAGAGAAAGTGTTGAACCACCCTTCAATTGGTGGATTCTTGACTCATTGCGGATGGAACTCAAGCACCGAAAGCGTATGCGCAGGAGTGCCAATGTTGTGTTGGCCGTGTTTTGGTGATCAGCCAACAAACACTAGGTTAATTTGCAATGAATGGGAGATTGGAATGGAAATCGATACGAACGTGAAGAGAGACGAGGTGGAGAAGCTTGTGAATGAATTGATGGTGGGAGAGAAAGGAAAGAAGATGAGGCAAAAGGCAATGGAATTGAAGAAAAAGGCTTTGGACAACACTAGTCCAGGAGGATGTTCATACATGAACTTAGACAAAGTTATTAAGCATGTGTTTCATAAACAGAATTAGAATTATTTTCATATTAGCTTTGGACATATTAGATTTTTCATATTGGCTGCAGAAGTAGAACTGATAATTTGGCTGATGTCCAATTTTCTTCTGTAGAACAAGAATCTTTGATGTGAGAAAACTCAAACTTATGGAAGTGGTCCACAATCATATGATGCTATTATTTGATAGCATATTCTAGTGTGTGGTTGCAATCCAATAAAAGTAATTATTAGATATAGGATATTTTGGTTAGATTCATATTTTTAAAATTAGTTATCTTTCGATTACTTATTCCTTCTATTTTAAAATGATAGTCGTTTAAGATTTTTGTAATGAGATTAAAGTATAAGACATTGTATTTTTATTAAATTAGTCTTATTAATGTGTTGAAAGAAATGTAAAGAGCAATAATTAAAGGATATAAATAAAAAAATAACGATCATTTCTATATTAAAAAGTGAGAATATCAGTCATTTTGAAACGATTTTTTCTCTTAAATGATAGTAATTTTTAAAATAGAGAAAGTATTTAATTTTCTTATTTATAATTTTTAGAAGTTAAGAAAAATGACTTAAATTTTTCTTATATGTCAAAGGAAGATTATTTGTAGAAAAAAAAATTAATGAGTGTCAGAATTATATGATTTTCAAGATTTGCTCTAAGAATTTCCTCTGAGATTGATCCTTTCAATCTTTCTTCTCAACGATCCTTTACCTTTTTGCTTCGTGTCTGTTACAATCTCAATTGTTTCCTCCTCTATTGAGTGAGTGTCGTGGTTATCCCTGTGTTAGCCACGGAATTTTAGTTTAGCATTTTGGATATAAAAATTGTGATGCCAATGTATGAGATTTTTAAGTATAAAACTACTTAGTTACAGTATTCGACATATTGACTACTTCTACTGAGGTGGTGAGTTCGACTTGCTTACTAGTTATTTTTGGAACTTAGTATATTCTTGAGTTCGAACATTAGATGACCCAGAGGCCCACTAAAATCGGTTTGGAAGAGTCTCAGGAACAGATCCACGAGATTATGATCACTCTCTCATCAAAACATGTTCAGAACCTCGAAAAGGTTTGTAGTGGTTTAACATTTCGACATGAAAGTGTAGTATGAAGGTGGTGAGTTCGACTGACCTATCAGGTATTTTGGGACTTAGCGTATTCTTGAGTCCAAGGATTGGGTGACCTAAAGATATTTTGACACCACGCTACAAGATTTGACAGGAGCAATTTATAGGTAATTTCAAATACTAACACGTGCCAAGAACCCCCAGAGGTGACATCAATGAGCAGAAATCTCACTCACCAACCTAAACGACGAGCAAACACTCGAACGTGAGAGAAAGGGATCACCTAAAGATTACACGAACTCCAAGAAGGGAGAAAGAGGAAGGTAAGAGCGATGCTTTCAAAGAAATGGAGGTATGAATCTTATCCAAACTGCGAGAATAATTGACTAAGCCATGTCATAAGGGTCATTTTCCAATTTTCATTTCGTGGAATTCCTCGGCAGAGGAAAAAGCTGAAGGTGATGGGGCGTGGTGATTCTTATCTATATAGAGGCGCTGTAATCATTTCTATTGGATCGTCCGTGGGGTAGCTGGTATAGATGAATAAGTGTGGGCCTTTTGAACAAGATCTATCCTTTTAATAGGAAGCAAAGGTGTAAAGGAAATGAGTAGTTTTAAATACCAACATCATGCTACAAGATATTTGGGGATTGATATGCTGAATGCTGAAGAGTGTACCATTTTCGACAATTACGAAAGTTTAGTATATAGGCAAATTTTATTCATGTAACAACAGTTCACAATTTTACTAGTATTCTCTTTAGAACCCGAGTATCCAAGTCACAGAGAGAAAATAGTTTGTTAGAAAATGTATGAATTTGTGTCCCTGTTTTATATTTTGTAATCCAAGCATTTTTATCTAATTACTTTTATTGTTTTCTCATTTACTTTAGTTCTTAGAACAATTATGCATTGTTCTAATTGGGATTTCTACCCAATTTCCTTACAGATAAATGTTAATAATCAAGCACAAACATACTTATTCAAATGTTTTGTACAATATGTCCTAAGATTTTGTTGAGTTTAATTCTTTTAGTGAACGAAAACTTGTGATTTGATTTACTAAAAACAATGATAAACGCCCTATGAAAGCTTTGCTTCAGTTGGTGTGGTGGTAATGCTCTATCAGATCTCTTGTTTCTTTACATGCTTGTGCTTACAAGCTCTATTTGGGTTGATGCGGTGGTGGTCCTCCATCAGATCTATTGTTTTTTTTGCTTGTTTGTGTTTCCCTTCTCAGGCTTTTGGTTCATTTCCGTCTTCATGAGTTCTCTACCATGGAAGACTTGTAAATTTTGGATATCACGAAAGACCCCACTCTAATCTTAACATCATCTCCAATTCTAATTCTCCTTCCCGTCCTCCTAACATCAAGATCTCAAGAAATCTTATTTTAGGGGATTATAGCATTGTGTGTCATGATTGCAGTGGGACCTGTTAGACAATGACGCAGATCTAGAAGGGGGGGGGGGTTGAATACATCGCTTGTTTAAAACAGAGTCGGCGCTACCAAAAATTGGATTTTGAAAATGTTTAAGGCGGAAGCGGCCGAGAAACTATACACGTATAAAACAAACGATTACTAGAAAACCGAATATGCGTAAAGCCTATGGAATTTGATAAACGAGATTTGAGAATCACCATTTTAATCACACTTCAATCAGATTTTGTTCACTATAAGGTGTGTCTAGTTCCAATTCCTTTAAAATATAGACAATTTGAAAAGACAACGCAAAATGTTTTTAGTTCACACAATTGATCAAACAATTGGAGTGCAAAGCACTACAAGTGAATTCTATTTTGAGAGTTAAGTGCTCAAGTTTTCTATTACAATCAATGATTGTAATTAGCTTAAAAATAGTTCAGCACAACTCGACTCAGAATTTGATTGACACAATCGTTTGCACTAAAAGACTCATAAATTTAGCAATATAAACGTAAAGAAAAAGACACAACGTTTTGTTGAGGCAGTTCCCCCGTCGTCCTCGCTCGGGGTATGTCTGCCCTCAATTCTATTAAGATATGTATACAGATAGATATAACTTGTTGGTCAATGTTTATAGAAGAAGAAAATAGAGATCAAACAATTGAACACAACTTGTTGTAGTAGAGCCTATTTCTTCTTGCCCCTTGATTCAAGTTGAATCAAGTCCTTCGAACGCGGTGAATAAACCTCAGGTTACGAGACTCTCTTTGAACAACCACCAGTCTTTAAATCTGGCCTGGCTGATTTCAGTCACCCACGTGTCAAACCCGAATCTTCCACTCACAATCGTTCGTTTACCGCTACTAAACGAACAAAACCTCTCACTCTTCAATTACCTTTGCTCGGCTAAATCTGTGATGGACCGATTCGTGGAAAACCCCCCAAAATTTGAGATTTTTGGAGGAAAAAACCCTAATGGTTTTATTCAAGAAAAACCTGCCGGTTACTAAACCCAAACCAAATTAAACCAATCTTCGGCTTTGGATGTTATCACCTCGAACATGCACAGTGCACAACAAAAATGATTATGTGTAGTTGTTGTGAAATGCTATGAAGATAATGAAGATGATGAGAACAAAATCGACACGTAAATTTCACTTTTCTTGTTTTCTTAGTGGTTGTGAAAGGAATAGCACAACTCAACTTATATACAAAACATAACTGACTTAACAAACATAACAGACTCACAAAACGATTTGGCATAACAGAATTTTGACTTAAAACAGTGAGCGGTCGACCTATGCAGTAAAAGGGTCGACCTGAGCTTACCCGTATACATGCGTCGACCAGTGCATGCATCGACCGGAGCATGACATGCGTCGACTGGAGCATGACATGCGTCGACCGGAGCATGACATGCGTCAACACACAACATGCAAATTTAGCCAGATACAAATGGTCACAATATGAGTCGACCGGAGGGTCGACGCAAGCCCTCCTGAGAGTAATTCATTAAAATGACTAGCTGTATGAGTCGACCGGAGCAGGCTTTGAGTCGACTCAAAGCCCTGAAATAGGCAAAAATGTCAATTTTCATGCATTAAGACTCTTTTGATGAAACCTAGAGTACGGCAAGCAAGACCAACTAAGCCAACCCTATATGAAACATTGATTTTGCCATCTCTATATGCAATAATCATGTTTTTGACGAGTGTTTGACTTATGAGAGACAGGACATGCAAATATGACATGGTGACAACGTCCAACATACATTTTTCTATGGAGCTGAGTTTTAACATCAGTGAAACGAGGGCACCTATCTATGAGGCTTTTCCCTCACAGAACCTACAAATCCAAGATTAGAGCAAAAATAATAATTCTGTTAGTGGGAAAAGTGAAGAAGAAGACCCAGATTTCTATGTTTGTGATGATGAAGATATAAAAGAAGATTTCAAAGATAACAAAAATGGTGTTCTTGGAAAGTTTTTGTTTGATAAACCAATTCATAAAATTCACTATGCATTAGGTTATCTAGTATATGAGGTGACCCTGTAGGGTTCAAAAATTTTGAATTTGAGCCAAAGATCTTCAGCATTTCTGTGGAAAGCCCTCAAAATGTGAAAATAATCCTAAAGGGTAATCCCTACATTTTCAGGAATGTAAAGCTCTCTCTCAAGCCCTCGAATGAGGATTTTTCTCTACAGATTTTAGATTTCAACATTGTTCACATCTTGGTCTAGCTTTGGGGCATCCCTCAAAAGATCAGGACAAAGCAGATAGGAGAAAGAATTGGATCAAAATTTGGGACAGTTATGGAAGCCAACCAATATGAATATCCCAATAATGTTACCTTGTGTCGTGCGTAAAAACGATTATGGTGTCACAAGAAATAAGTGAAGGTTTGATTAACTTAAGAGAGTGAATGTTGAGCTATGATCCATCAATATACAAGTAGCCAAAATGTGTAAGTGATGAGATGTGTTGTGCCTCGAAAGGTAAGAACGTGATCTATATGTGTAT